AAGCGTGCTCTGAAATGAATCGACAATTTGTGGATTTACTTCAAATCTGATGAAACTAATTTTTTCATTATGTTGTTTTCAGTTGCTGCATGTTGTTTTGCTGTGTCCAACTCGTGGCTGTCAGCAATTTTGGCATACAGACAGATTTTCTATGAAGCTGTGGGCACATTCTTTGTTAGCAAAAAAAAAAGAAGCTTTTAAAGAGTAGAGCACTCGTTTCCAGTGCTGACACTGTTTCTCAAAGTTGGAGCTATGATCTCAGCTCTAGATGTCAGAATACATAACAGACTGTTGCACAGAAGATCTTTGGCTCAGTTCTACATAGCAATGCTCAGTCCAACAGAGACAGGCCTGGGACTCCAGCAGTGTCCTGGAACTGCTTTTCAGAAATGGTGATTTTGTTAATTTTGACAGGTAGTGCACAATGCTTCAAAAAATTCTTAACCAAAACAGCAACTCATTACTACAGTTTCGGAAATGTGGCCTGTTTATGTCTGTTTTTCCTGCTCAGTCTTTGTGTTGTAGGCAAGTAGGTGGGCAAACATCAAATCTGCGTGTTGGCTGCAAACTTAGAAGTTGACAATATTTTATTCTGACTATGTTACATTACAAAGATGTATCCGCGGAGACTTTGGCAAGGAAATGTGCCACTGCTGCATAATAGTGTCATTTACGGAGTCATTTAAACCTCAACCTGACCCACTGGCTGGTCTCAGTTAAAATTTACTCTCCTTAGCTGGTTACCATCAAGTCGACTGTTGTGCTCTTTGTGCGATGGAGCTCAGAGGGACGTGTTGTGTTTCAGTCATAAGGATAATTAACTGATCACAGTCTAGTTTTCCAGGAAACTGACTGTATTAGCGACACTCTTCTCTATTCTCACCTCCTTCTTTTTAGTTATCTTTTTTCCACTTGGCAACTGTCACACAGAGAGCTTTGAAGTGGGCGTAAATAAGGAGACATGCATGGCTAATGAGCAAGAGTAAAAATGGCTTAATTCTTGATTTCGCAGCGCAACTCCGCTTGCTGAACTGAGTGTCGAGGCAGTGCAATAGCTTAATTAAGTTGCCTGTTAACAGAGGCCAACAGCAATATTTGCTGTTGTGTCAGACAGATCATATCTATTCAGCTTCAATTGTTCTGTGAAAAAGTCCAAAACATCTGCAATCAAACACTGATTTCACCTTCTGAACTCGCTTGTCAAACAAATTAACATCTGACGGGGACTTGCCAAAAGGATATAAGGAGTCCATATTAAATACTGACAATCACTTCTAGTCAGTGATATGTGTAGTGCCAGAAAGTGAAAGGGAGAAGAAGAAGGAAAAAAAACAAAAAAAACAAGAAGTAAGGAATGGTCTTCTGCTTTCAGATTTACAGCTGTGGGGTCACTGGTGGAAGTGGAGCTGGAGCAGAGTGGTGCAGAACTCTCCTCCTCCCTCCTGGCCTCCTTCCCTGCTCCCACCCTTTTCTTTTTTCTTTTTTTTTTTTTTGCTCTCTGTTACTGTATATGGGTCACACTGTGATTGTGTGTACATACAGGTGAATATGTTCTCTTTTCCACTGAGCACATGGAAAGAAGTACTCAAGCAGTTACCCTTAAGTTGGTGTAACACAGTGGAACAATGCTGCAATTAAAGCAAAGGTCATGCCTTTAAACTTTTACTTGCGCAATCATACACGGATCGTAAATTTGTGTTTTAAAAGAGGACTCATTCTGAACTCTCATCACCTCTTAAGAATTTAAAATAATTTATTCATGATCCCTAATGACGATTTTTCTAATGTTGTAATGAGTGTGGGTGTGAATGGGTGATCTGACCTTTACAGTGCATCGTGTTTTATGACCTAGTTTTCAGTTTTGTGTGTGAAACTCTCTGTCTGAGAAGAGTCACACAATTTTAGGAATTCTAAAATCTGTTATCTGTGGATTAATAGACAAAGTCTGATGTAATAATTTACAGTGTGAAATCTATACAGCAGACTTTGAAGTACTATCCCATGGGCCAAGTATGTACTAAAGGTAAAAAATGTATTTTTTCAGAAAATAGCTAAAATTAATTTAAAAGAAGACAACCATTTCTACTTTGGCACAACAAACCTAATCACTGTACAACAGCAGGGATTATTTTAAATCACCAAGATGTGATAAGATCTGAGAATCTGCAACTAAACTGAATCCCCGAGCCTGTAAGCGAGTAAGTGTGCGTTTGCTCCTACTCGTTTACCTGTGTTGCCCATGACAAGTCATCACAACCTCAGCCCATGCAGGAAGGCAGGATGTTTTTGATGAAGCAGTGGGCTTAATTTAGGCCCAGGCATTCTCAATATCTGTCACCTAACTCCAAGCGAACTCAACACACAGTGCAGGAGGTGTTTGTGTGTGTGTGTTAGCTCATGTTTATCCAGGGAGGCAGGTTACAAATTCAAGAAATGCACACCAACATTTGGCTTTCTAAAAAGACTTGAATAACCACCAAATGTAAAAACATGGTCATCCACCTTTTTAACTAGTGAAATAGTAATCATAATAACTGCAGCTGTACAACAGACTATTGTGATAGTGTCTTTTTGATATGATTTTATTATGAATGAGTAATACTCGCTAATAAAAAATAATCCTATTAAACCTGCCAAAGGCCCAGAATCTTGATTTCTTCTTCTCAAGGAACTGGCTTGGTTGTAGCTCCTGGTTGGCTATAAAATAACCAAACAGGCGTAGGCATTGCCAGCAAACTAGCGAAAGCAAAGAGCGAATGCCAACAACCTCTGCCAAAGACCTGAGCTTGTACCCAGTGTTCTTCTCTTACTGGTACATAGAGATGTTTTCTGCCTACTTCTTTGAATTACAAAATTTTTCTGCCTCTATGGACATTGTTTTAATTCACAATACTTCACAATGAGCAAGCTCTGTTGTAAAAGCAGCTACCTACAATATGAAGTAATTACAGCCTTCATTTCCTTGACCTCTCTGCACTCTTGTTTGATGAGCATAGAAATATGCTGAAAGGAGTGATAAGTTGTTTTTTGTTTTTTTTTAAATCCATAAGACAATCTTGTGATGGCCTGACCTCGAGCTTGTCGTCATTTCAATACTGCATTAAATGAAAATGCTCTGACTCGTCAAAGACTGCAAGGAGTGCTGAGAGGAGGGCCATGTGGTCGTCACGCATCCATAACAAATGGAAAGAAAGGAAGACCACATAGCAGCATGGTCAGATCAGGTTGTCAGAGACCATATTTAAAATCTGGGTCAGAGTCCAGGCCGTAACCTCGCTCTCACTGTTGCTCCACACTCCCTCCTCTGCACCCCATTTCACCTTCTTGTCCCACTACCCTATTTTTGTCCTGTCTCCCTGTCTCTTGACACCTTTATCTCCTCACCCACTGTTAATACCCATGTCTTTATATATTTCATTCTGCCTTCCTGCTGTCTGAGCCATCCACAGAGGCAGCAGCTTTGCCATCTGCCTGTGTTGAGTTTCACGGGCAGCATCTTATGATTAAGATCGTAATCGTGTCTAAACACATCAACCTAAAATGTATGAATTGTTAAGAATACAATAGAAGATTTTTTAACTGATGTTCTCATCTCATGAGAAGTTAAGAAAATTCAAGGCGAGCGTAAGGAACAGCCATACGATTCCTATGCAAGTGTTACAGTAAGTCCATTCAAATCTACTTTATAACAAGAGGACAAAATGTGTGGCTGCTGTTCTTACACAGAACTTAAAATGGAAAATAAGCCAAAATAGAAAAAATTGGAGTGGCATCCTGGGTCATAGTTTAAATACATGCTCCACGCTATCGAGCTTATTTTGTCAAAACATGCTTGATAGACTTTAACATTAGACTGATGATTTTGGACAATTTTAGGTTAGCTTTGCACACAGACTTTGTAGGTTGTTACCTACAAAAGCCAGTGTATATAAGAATCATGTAGGTTTGTTCTGGTTCTTGTAACTGTGCAAAGCCAGCAAGCTTGCAATGAATACAGACTTTTGAGATGCTACATATAGCCAGTGAGCACAGCTGGTGTTAGTCAGGGAACATTTCCATGCATAGGTTTGACTGCTTGTAAAAACAAACAAACAAACAAACAAACAAAAAAACCCACAATGCCTTGTATTCTTTTTCAAACGTGCATGTATAAAACATGCAGGATATTATTTATGAATGGAAGTATATTTGCAGTACATCTTTAATACATCTTTTACAGCACTGATATTTCATCTAACTCCAAGTCAATCATTATTATTGCTGTAAAAAGTCTGAATGTGCTTTCAGAAAATCCAATGCATTGCTTCTTGGAAAACTGAGAAAAAGAGCCAGAGACAGAGTTTGATTTAAGATTTAAGAGGTGCCACACTGCTGCCTATTCTGAAGCAGACCTGTTATGGAATCATATTTGTGCCACAATCCTGAGCAAACTAAAATCGATTCTGTGCTCAAAACTATTACTGCTGTGTTTGCAACCATCAACATACACGCACGATCATGCCGTTTTTCACTCGGTTTTGTCATTTACTCCTCCACAGATCTCCATTCTGTGCACATTCACGTGGGCTTGCGGTGTCTTTCTCGCTTGCGCATAACACTGATGATCTGTTCAAGCTCAACTCTGCCTGTAAATTTGTTCAACTTGGCACAGCGTTATGAATGTGCCAAAAAACAGCCAGTCACAGCCCTGCACAGGGTACTTGACCCTATCCAATCAGATGGCTATTTCGGTCACCTCATGGAAGCTCTGTAAAAAGTGACAACAAAATAAAGTGGACTGGTGCGATTAATGCTGTGTTACAATACGTTTTCATGAGAATTTTTTGTTATTGTTGTATTACATAAAACTAAGACTATTTCTTCATCCTTGTTTAAGTAGCTCAGGCTAGCCAAGCAGACCAATGTCACTAGTGTTGAGATTTTAGGTTTGGACTGTTATTGTGGCAAATCTACTGCCTGTGTGTGTTTGGCTGCCCTTTGTGCTTGATTGTTTGTTGCAGGCTGGGCGGGGCCATGGCTGAGGAGGACTCACTCGTTATCCGCCGCACCTGTTCCTCATCTGCAATCTGCACTGCTTTTAAGCTGGCGTCTCCCCATGGTTCAGGGCCAGATGATTAATTCTCCTCTGAGCGGTATATCGGCCACAGTAGCGATCTCGAGTTCTAGAGCTTAGTGAATGTTCCTCGTGCTAACCCTTGCCCCTCGTCCTTCCCCCACAGAGCTTCTCAGCCTGCCGTCTTCTCCTGCCCAGCCTTCTCGTGTGAGCAACCTGTAGCAGCCTACAACTTCCCCCCACTTAAGGATTTGCTTGTCACGACCACAGTATCCCCAGAGCACGGATTCCCCCTCACTGGAGCCTCGGACGAAACCCAAGGATAACCCTCTCCCTCTTCACCTCCCTCACAAGACCAGCGTGTGCCTGCACTCCCCCTCCAGCTACCTTGGCGTCCTCACTCCTGTACCCAATAAAGTCCCCTTTATTATTGTAATCCGCCTCCTTTGTCGCATTTTGGGTCCGCTTCATGAAACTTAGGAGCTCCCTCCTAACAATTAGAACCTGAACAGCAACATGAAAATATTGAAGCACGGCACAGTAGTTGACATTACGGAAATATTTTTATTTCAAATCAAATCAAAGTTTATTGGCATTTTGCTGTACATGCAACAGTGGTACAAACAAGATGAAAGAACATTTCTTCAGGATAGAAAAATTAAAAGCAACTAAATAAAGAATCGCATGTATATCCAGATCAGCAGTTCAGCATTTGGACAGCTTGTGGAATGAAGCTGTTGAAGCTGTTGATCAGTCTGGAGGTTCTTCCTTCAGTGCTTGCCTGATGGCAGCAGCTCAAATAGTTTATGGAGAGGGTGTGAGGAGTCCCTGACAATGTTCAGTGTCCTGCTCCTGCAGCGGCTCTGGAAAAGTTCAGAGCTAGCTGTCTGTCTGCCCAGAACAATGTCATCTCCTCCAACTGCATGGCCGTCTGGGATGTTGTCATGGAGCCATGCCTCCGCAAAAGCAAACACACAGCAGTCCCTCCACTCTCCACGGGTTTCTCCCAGCAAACGTAGCTCGTCCAGCCTGCTGTCGATGGAGCGGACATTGGAGAGTAGGAGCGACGGTCCTGCTAGTCTGGAGGGGTTAGCCTTTAGCCTAGCATGGATCCTGGCTCTCTTTCTAATCCTTTGTTTACATTCTTACCGCTTGCGTTTAATTCTCTCTTGGGTGACTGCCGGCATAGTCCCTGATCTGATGCCGTGTTGGTGTAGTATGTCCAAATGTGATTTGATTTAAAATAAAAATATTTCAGTAATACCAACTACTGTGCCGTGCTGCACCATTTTCATGTTGCTGTTCAGGTTCTAATGACATTGTTCAGCTTGGAAAGCCTGAGCTACTTCAACAAGGATGAAGAAATAGTCTTTGTTATATATAACACAATAATTACAAAAAAAACCTCACTGGAAATGTATTACAACATGCCATTAATCGCACCACTCCAGTTTATTTTGATGTCACTTTTTACAGAGCTTCCAAGAGGCGGCCAGAATAGTCACCTGATTGGATAGGGTCAAGTACCCTGTGCAAGGCTGTGATTGGCTGGTTTTGTGGCACATTCGTAAAGCTGTACCAAGTTGAAGGAACGTGCAGGCAGAATTGAGCTTGAACAGATCATCAATTTTGTGCACGAGCGAGAAAGACACCGCGAGCCAGCGTGAACGTGCAGTTGAGTGCAAAGAATAGAGATCTATGAGAGCGCAAATGACAAAACTGAGTGAAAGACAGCATGATTGTGCGTGTATGTTGATGCTTGCAAACACAGCAGTAATAGTTTTGAGCGCAGAATGGATTTTCGTTTGCTCAGGATTGTGGCACAAATATAATTCCATAATCTGGCAGGCCTGGAGCAGCCGTAACAGTGCTTTTGCTGCTATTCATCACAGAGAAAATGGCAAACACTGTACAAGTCAACCAGCATAAATATCCGTGCATCTCCTCAGCTCGGTGGCTCTGAACGTATTGTGGGCCGAACAAGGCTGCCAACAATAAGACATGATGACATTGTCCTGTTTTCTTGCTGGAGGCCTCCCAGTAAGGAGTTCTCGTGAATGCCTCTTCAGTGTGACATGGAGACGGGCTTGCAACCACTAGCGGAGCCAGAGTTGAGCTGCTTTAGAGCCCTGCTGAGACCTGCCAGGCCCACAGCTTTCCCTGCCAGGGGCCTCGGCTCACAGTGAGTTACAACCCATGCTCCTGACACACACACTTGCGAATACAGAAATACGCATCCAGTATGTAGGCATGCAGGCACACGCACAGGTGGAACACATAGTGGAGTATATGTGAGAAAAAAAATTTAAAAATGCAAATACACACATACATAATGATACCCCTCTGTTTGACCACGTGATAGGGAGCTGTATACAGAACTACTTATGTCCCCAGCCTTTTTAAACTTAAGCTGGAACTGCAGTGACCTCTTGAACACACACATACCGCCACACTCAAACGATACGGTTATAGGCAAGCAAAATAAATGTGCTCCATGCTTGCACGCATGCAGTAAAGTGAGCATGTCCTCTAACAGGAGCTCTATCTGTCAGGGGCAGTTTGAGATCAAGGTCCTGCAGCTGCTGGATCAGCTGGATTGATCTGTCTGGGTAAACATGAAAAGTGGAAATGAGCATGCTTGTGATTAAGAGCTTAACAGAAAGTGTCTGTGTGTGTGTGTGTGTGTGTGTGTGTGTGTGTGTGTGTGTGTGTGTGAGAGAGAGAGCGAGCGAGCAGGTTCAGCATCTGACTGTTTAAATGTCGTACAAAAGAGACATATAGATATGTCAGTACAGTATGCTCTTCCAACTTAATCTTTTTCATAACGGCTCAGACAGGATCATTACATCCAAATATGAAGACGTGAAGCACATAGACTGAGTTTACTGAGGGCAATTAATCCAACATGGTCTTGGTTCAGTGCCAGTGTTCTACATTTTTCACTGAAAAAAAATCAACATTCTGCTATATGTAGTCCAATGATTTGTATGTGCTTAATGATGAAAAGTCTCAAGGTGAAATGTCTTTAATGATTTATTGCATGTGTGTAAGGTGATTTCCATGTTTATATTATACTAGTTACATGTTTATGTGGTTTTCTGTAGTTCCCATGATCCCATGATGTCACGCCCTTGTAAATTAATTTAGTATAAAAAATGAATTCATGACAGGATATCAAGGGCTGTTTTTTCTTAGTGCACATAACTATGAGGTAAAAGATTTCTGTGGCTTCATTCATGCGGTTGGTTTAAAGGACAGACAACCATGTTTTCTGAGGATTCTACATACTGTCTGTATGAGGAAATCACCCACAATGTGACTAAAACCACTGACTGGACCTCGGGGGTGATACAACTTAACAAGAACTTGAGCTTTCACGGCTATTATTTGTCAATCAATTAAGCCCTTTTCAGACATGGGATCTGTAGCATTGCTGACTTCGTCAACCTGTTAATCATTCAGACATAGGTCACTTTTACGTTGATGACAGAGACAGCAAAAGCCACAGTCATTGCCCAATACTTGTCATATGTGCATGATTGGACAGCACCTCAAGTGATGTATAATGCTGAAACAGGTTACGTCACCCACTATATGTAATACACATCCTACGTTAGCATGTTGTAATCCTGTGCATGCCTATCCGTTGATGCAAGTGTGCAGACTTGTGACATGTTGAAAGTGATATCTAAATCTTAGTAGATCCAAGCTAGCAAGATTGCAATCACGACTTTTACGTAAAAGGGCACAGGGAGCTCATTCAGACATTAAGCCGGCAAATTCAGATGCAAAAAAAAAAGAGAAAAAAGTCTGATAAACCACTTTGACTTAGTCTGAAGATTAAAGTTTAAAAATGACAAAAATCTGTTATTAGTGCCCAGAGGTGTTTATTGGACCTCTTACTGCTTGCTCTTCATCTCTGCTGAGGTAGCATCTCAAAGCTACATTTGCCACCACTGGCATTACACTTCTGCTGTTCCGGCCAAGTTGTATTGGATGAAGTTGCATTGTGGGTAATATAGGCAGACATGGAAGAGAAAGGTATTGAATTAGAATTAGAATCAATGTTGGTAACTGTGCTTCTGCTGCATTTATACTTAAGAAAAACCCAATATTACTATGAAAAGGCTCTAAGCTAATGATGTCACGTTTAGAGGCTTGCTTTCAAATTGAACATAGCAATGATCCACGAGGGTCCATGAAGGCGAGAATTTATAACAGTACGTGCTGACTGTACACATCGAGCGTACATGTGTGGATATGTGCACGCATCAACTGTTCGCACTGCTGTCCACATGTGTGTCAGTTTTGGAGTACATCAGGGCCTTCAGACAATATAACTGCATGGACAAATTGAAAATGTTTGACACATAGCTCATACTTCTGTCATTGTAAACTATGAGAATCTTGAACACAAAAACACAACGAACACAACCGGTAGAAAGCATGCAGAAAGAACATTAAGTTATCTTGTGCTGTTTTGTGTATGCTGCACAAAACTATGAGAATTTGCTTTCACATTTGGTTTCACCTACCTAAATTATGTTATATAGCTCCTTGAATTATGACATAAAGCTGACAGTTCCTCTGTTTATTACAAACAAGCTGTATGTGAACATAACCATATTTAGCACTCACATGAGAGCTGAGACACTTTTTTGCTTGCTACATGAATGTATCTCACAGCAGTAATATATTGTGTGAGTGCATGAGTAGCGATAGGGTTTGTGTCTACATTAATCGCAGGAATGTTGATGTGGTCCAGAGTTTAATAGAATGAGGCGTGGGTGTGGAGTAAGAGTCCCCTGGAGCACAGTTAAGGTCTTAAAGTACTAAAAAGCCTTGACCCAGACCCTATACACCCACTCAGAGGGACACAGCACCTCTTCTCCAGTCCAAGCACATACTTTCATACTCTGACTCTGCAGCAAATCAACACACGCTTAGACCTACACTGACAAACAGAAAAACACAAGACAAGGAAAGTATGACCTTAAACAACAAACATGCACAAAATGTACCCGGCACTCTCTCTCTCCCTTACTCAAACACACACACATAGACCCACAAAACAGAACACATCTCCGTTGTCTTGTGTTGCTCGTCATGCAATGAGGAGCACATGACTTAAATTGGGTGTGGTGCATGACCTCTTATCGGACAAAAGCGTCCCACAGAGAGAGATGATGGGGGAGACTGTGTCTCCCTTCCAGTCCTGTTTGTTGGCAGTCATGAGGTCTCCATTCCGTTCGCCACGCTGTGTCTCGTGGTTCAAAGTCCATAAAATGTTTGAGCTAAAAAATCCCCTGCTTTTAAGACATTCAGCCATGGCGGTGTGTTGTCAATAAATCAGCTGCTTAGCCTGAGGAGAGCAACTTTAGCTGGGAGGGAGGAAGTGCAAAATGTTTTTTTTTTCCAAGAATGAGGCCTTGAATGTTTTTGTTGTGTCCTGTAAATGTCTCACCTTGAGGGCCTGATGTCTCTCAGTGAGAATGGTTGGTTTGTATTTCACACATTTGCCCTGACACCTCAACATGCTTATGGAGTCTGCAGAGCAAAACGCAAATATTTCAGTAACTGAAGTTGCAATAACGGATCTCTTTTCCATGTCTCACTGATCAGTTCTTTATCATTTAACTGTCAAAAAGGTGATACTATCTGTAAGCTACAGCAGTTAGACATATGCAAGCCTTAATCTCATCCACCAAAGATACACTTCATCATATTTCAGTTTTAGTATCAAGACTTTCCAGCAGCACTGATGATTTCCTTTGTGAAACCTCTCTGACTGTTGTGGAGCTCAGTACAGACAATGCTTAGGAAAACATGTATGTTGCACGCTAGGTTTCATAGACAGGTAGTTAAAGGACTTGTGCAGGTGTTAAAATGGCTAATAAAGCAGAGTATCCTTTTCTGGTTGTGAAACAGGGGATAAGGATGAGGATGATAGTTTACAACTAAATGTCCCCACTTTAATTTGGCTAATAGCTAAAACAGGCTGGAAAATGTGACTAAAATGGTGAACTCAAATTGAGCAGAACTATGTGAGGATGTACTGTGTGTATGTCTGTCCCATCACAAGGTAGTGCCATTGAGAGGCAATGCCCCGAGGCAGCTGGCCGCAGTCTACCAAGGGCACTTTAAATTGGAATAATGTTCACTAACTAGTGTTAGAGGGTTCATTCACTGTTGGTATATGAAAAGGACAAATTGTTTGATGCACTGCTGATGGCTGCATGAAAATCAAGTGAAGAAGCTTTGAACCGCAGGACCGTATGCGACTATGGATAATTACGGAGTGAATCGAAGAAGAAAAAATTGAATTAAGGCAGTGGTTCTAAAATGTTTTTGCATAACTTAGCTATGTTGCAATGATTTTCAGTGATACAAGACTAGACATTTGTAAAATGTTTTAACCTTAAAATATATTTATTTTGTCACCACTAATATCAGTCATTGACTGGACACAGGCTAAACAATTGCTGAAAATGCCCATGGGTAGATGCTACATTTTACAGATGTTCCCTGAACGCCTCACATGCTGCTCCAGTAGATGCTACATTTTACAGATGTTCCCTGAACGCCTCACATGCTGCTCCGGTAGATGCTACCAGGTGACTGCAGTGCAGCTCCTCTGACAGGTGAGCGACCAAACATCTGTTGGAAAACAGTGGAAAGCGCGTTCTACACAAATTTGCCCAAGTTGAAAAGTTTTCTATTCGCAGCGTTTTGTTCTTTTAAAAATTTTATTAACAGACTTTTCTACAAACTGAGTGCATTTTAACTGTGCATACTGCTGGCCATCATGTTTTTAGAAAAATTGTGATAGCTGTTAAAATGTGAATCCGGGAGGGCGCCACACACTTTGAAAAACACTGGTATAGAGGATGGTTGCAATCCAGATTGTCCAGCAGGCCAGCGTCATCTTTTTCGTCACGTCTTTACTCGTCAATTGATAATGAACAGAGATTTCATTTTAATTTTAGTTGTCAGAACTTCTTAAATTTACATTCTCGTCACAAATTAGTCACAGAAAAAAATCGTCAACGAAAAGTTTTCGTTGCCCTGAGGTCAGATGCGTCTCCCCTGGTGGGCGCACCCCACTATTTGAGAAAGACTGAATTAAGGGATGTGAAGGTATAGATGTAAAAGATAGATGGTTGCAAAGATGAGTCTCTAAGTAACTGCTGCCTTGAATGGCTTAATGAATATGTTGTGTTAAAAGAGCAGTGAAATAAGTTCTATCGAATGATTTATGTGTGCATCATGCATAATTTATGTGAAATAAGTTGAATAAAAATTTTGTTCAAAACTATTTTATCCGTGTTGTTGTCTGTGCAGAAAACTTACTGTAAACTTTCCATTGCATTTAACAAGATGAAAAAAAACTGTCAGATGCCTCATGTTAAGATGTGCATGTAGATACACACATCGATTAACAATGTGTTATTCCATCTCTCAATATTTTTTGCCAACCCTGTTTTTTTCTCTCAGGTCCTGTTGTTTTTGTCAACTTATCGTTCAATAAAATCAATAAAAAACAGCTTAAAACATGCCATTTCCTCAGACAGCTGGGCACTGTAGGAGAAAACAGTGCATTTATTGGAAACTACTTTCAGCTGTGGATAACTACATATTCGGTGCTCCAAAATCTTGTACGTAAGATCAAATAAAAATAAACTACATAATCTTTTAGCGACTTGGTTCTTTTAGCAATTTTTTGTGTTTATTGCCAATTATATTCTCACAATTTAGCAATTTATTGGGGTGATGCAAATCTTTTCTTTTTCCTTATGAATCCATGTTAATAAAAATATTCTACGCAATTATTTTTGGATTTATTGTAATTATCAGATGATGACAAGCTGTGAAGGAAGGAAGGGGTGGAACTGGCCTCAGCCTCTTCTGCAAACATGAAGGGAAATTTTTGGAACGGGGCATCAGTACAATCTTTGACATCACACATGACTTAAAAATGTTCGTTATCTTGTTTAAAGTAAGCATAAATCTGGAAAATTAAGGAAACAGAATCAGCAGAAGTAGCTGTTGTAATTTGGACTGTTTAAAACAGGGGTGTCGACATCCGGTCCTCGACGGCCGCAATTCTGCATGTTTTAGATGTTACCCTCTTCCAACACACCTGATTCAAATGATCAGGATCGTTATCAGACTTCTGCAGAGGTTGATGATGAGCTGATCATTTGAATCAGGTGTGTTGGAAGAGAGAAACATCTAAAACATGCAGGATTGCGGCCCTCGAGGACTGCAGTTCGACACCCCTGGTTTAAAACATGTGACTCAAGAAGCAAAGCTTTGTAAAGGAGCCACAGCAAAAAAAGGAAGTGAAAAGAACTGGCAACAAAACAGACTATTATCAAACTTCAAAGACTAAGAACGCAAAAAGCACATCTGATGGGTCATGTGACCAGCTCGGACATGTGAATTCTACTTAATAGTTTTGGTTGTTGTGCACAGCAGCAGGCTACAGCGGGCTGAAATGTTTGTACCTAATTTTCCTAATGAATACAATAAGACATCAAATATGATTCACTTATCTGTGGTGTGGGTCACAAGCAGCTTAAGTTTTTCATTTACAGTGAATGGTCACAAAATACTTCGACTTCATTCGATAAGGGGACATTTGTTATGGTTAAATAAGTCATGCACACACATATAAACACAAGCGTATTTGAGGTGAAATCAGGAAGTTATCTACTTCTTGAAAAGAGGTGTTGTCAGGCTTCAGCTGCTGTGTAAAACAGAATAGTTAAACCTCTCTATGCAAAATGACAGCTAAAGAAACAGAGCCCTGAACTCAGCGAGGAGACGAAATGTGTAAATGATCTAACTAGTCTTGTTTAGCTCAGCTTTTTTTGATATGACTAACACACGCGCACACTCACACACAGACGCACATACAAGAATAATGAGTCAGACATTCCATGCATATAAAATACACTGCACACTCACACAAATGTTTGATAAGCTATGGTATGCTACATGCTGCTGTTTGCCAGTGAAATGTTTTCACTTTGAGAAAAAAAAAAAAAAGGATTCTTCAAGAAGTGGAATGAAGAGGAATGACAAAAATACTGCAAATTGAGATGTTTTAAAATAGGCCATCTTTAATTACACCACTTTTCAGTACCTTATCTGGTATGTGTTGATATCACTGTTAGTCATGTCTGAAGAATCTGTGGTGAGTGTGTAGAGTTTTGCTCCCGAGCACAGTTTGGCAAACCACAGAATTCCTTCAAATCCCCCCCCCACCAAATTATTAACTGCTCAGAACAAAGCAAATTGTAAACTGCTTGGAAATGTCATATGAGGCCTAGTTTGAATAAAATAAAAGAGCCGATGGACACAAGCAAGGTCTTGGCAGGCAGAATTATTCCCGTGACTCTGCAGCATTTTAATTAATGCTTCCTGTTTATGCATCCAACTATTATTTGTAGCGGTAACCCTCACTCATGCATTATTAAACCTGCTTATGAAGCCACTTGCATTGTGTGAGCTTTGGGAAAGCACCTATCTGATGAAATCAAAGGAAAAGCAGGGGGGAAAAATTTTTTCTACCTGCCAAATGATCCTACGCATCCTATTTTTAAAAAGATCTGAAAAGCAGTTTAACTGTGGGAGGCCGATGATGTGCCCCACCCAAAGAGCTGCCCTTGCATAAAGCCGATGAGCCCAATCTTGGGGCTGCATCTCCAGGCCTACCCATAACTCCTATGTGCCTGACCTAGGAGCCGGATCAGGAGGCCCAGTTGTACAGCCTGTGATCCACACCCTGGAGCTGCACTGGAGGAACTGCTCACATAGTCAAGTGGGACCTGGCTAGGATTTGCAAACATGCAGGCATGCCTTATCTGTGCTGCCTCTCTGCCAGATACTGAACAGATACACAGACGCGTGCAGATAAAACAGCAAAAGCTAAGCCAGATGAACTCACACCGATGAACTTTTAATACAGTTCCTCCTATCCTACATTCAAAACACCCGCTGTTGAAAATAACCAAAAGCAAGTTACAAGGCGGAAAAGTCTGCAGCAGCTTATGTGTTTATCATTGGTAAATACACACAGCTGTTAGCGTCCAGTGCAGCTTGTGAACAATGCTGGCAGCTACACACCTCCAGCACAAGGGACACATTAAGAGAAATAGTACGAGGATACTGGCCCACACTCTACAGACCGATCCCGTGTCTGTGTGTGTGAGTGTTTAATGTAAAATGTCCTCACCCTCAGAGTAGGATGAGAATCTTATTGCAAGTCACATGGATAGCAACATTTCTAGAAGTAAAGAGGGAATATTGTGGGGTGTAACAAGATCCATTTAAAGCCAATTGAGTAAATGTATCTTGCGTTGATATAGCTCTTCTTATGCATGAATCAGCAGCTTGACAGGAGAAAATGTCACACTAACTAATTCTGCTTAAAGTTCATGTTCAGCGGTGAATCTCTCTCAGATTTGGGCCACTTTAGAGTGACTGCATTAAGCGTAATATGCTGTTAGTATGTGCACCTTAGGTTTTGACTTGCTGAGTTAATATGAAAGTTATGGCTTATGAGCATCACACATGTTCTTACTTGGATTAGTCAAGTCCCACAGAGGGAGATGATGTTTCAAATGTAAACAGAGAGAGATGCCATGTTCACCTGCTGGCATGTTTTATTGCTCAACCTGTTGATCAGGCTCTTTCCTAAAGGGTCTGAATGCATATTTCACTATGGGCTGTTTCTGTTAAAACTGGCACCTTGCACAGGTGCTTTCTCCGCCAACCGCCAACTGCCTGGAGCTGAACTGATAAATTTATTTAAAAATTTACATAAAATGGGAATCCTGTGGGTAGCAAACACGGAGCAAGTTTATGCAAATTGGCACATGCGCTGACATCACCCAGAAGAGCGAGCACGGGTTTGATCTCAAGAGAGCCTATTTTTGTCTTTATAAAACCAAGATGTTGATAATAATGTGGGCGATAAGCTGAACTGACAGCAAGTAGTCTCCACAGAATGAACTTCAGCGTCCGTCTGAGTTTTGCAAGTGTACAATATCTCGAGTGTCAGCAGCAATCCCCATGGCGTACAGCGACACATGACCCCGACATAGTCACTGGTATGGTTGGCTGTAAACGCGCACACACAGACATGTTTGCACACACACACACACAGGAAGACCTCCCTCTTAGCAAATCCTCTTTTTTCCGATAGCCGTCGTGAGTAGCAGACGGTTTTGCCATCCCTCTCTCAAAATAGCCACCCGTTAGCACAGCCAGGTCAGATGGTTTTGAAACATCCATGGCAAATGGTGCTGGAGTGAAGGGGAAGAGGGGGCAAAGAGTGCGTTACCACCTCTTGGAGAGCTCCAGAGAGATGGTCATGGGTGGGCCTCAAGTGGAGGTTTCTTTCACACTTGGGTGACAATGAGTGCTGAGGAACAAAAGAGGGATCCAAGAAAAACCAGCGGTGAGAGTGTGTGTGTGTGTGTGTGTGTGTGTGTGTGTGTGTGTGTGTGTGTGGATGTGCAGTGTAGAAGTAACAGCTGGCATTTGCTTGATTTATAATATTTTAACATATGTATGCAAAGAGTCAAAGTCATAATGTCACATCTGGGTGAGTCTCTGTTCGAACTGCCTTTGCAACTCATTGCAATCTCTCACTAAAGATTTCTTCTCTTTGCCTTTGTAGGGGAAAAAAAAGAACCCAAATAATCAGAAACAGCTTTAGCACTGGCTCGAAATTGAAACTTTTGGGAATTTGACTAAAGGACTTCTTTAAGAGTATTGAAAAAAAAGTGTGGCAGTGTAGGTGTTCATCATCTTCAACTTACATTCAAAATTTTAAAAACACCAGATACTGTCTTCTGTGGTCTATACCATTCAGTCTTGTCTGTCATGCCGCTATTAGTTACCCCACGACCCCTCGACTCACCATTTTTGTCAAGCTGTGACATGTATTAACCTGCAGCAGTCTGGAGCTCATGGAAAATGGTGTTCCTTTATATGTCTAAACATATGAAGTGAGTCACACAAAATATTGTGGAGACAGACTCTGTTCCAAGGCAGTAGTTTTAGTTATTTGTGTATTTACAAATGTCACTGGGTTCTGAAGGAGGCTTTCTTATTTCTGAGACAGAACCCAGAAGTTTGGGTTTCACTTTGGATCTCCAGATATACATTAGTATACATGATTGACTGTGAGCAGTATTTGGAGGTTTCTTCGACAGTCAGAGCTTTTGATTGGACCAACCTGTCAACAAAGACTTTCTGGTGTGCAAGAACTAACTGTAATAAATGTCAGTGAAAAATATGGAATAAATTGCTTTCAGTACCGCTAGAAATACTTGTAAAAAAAACACAGTCTCTCAGAAACTAAAAAATAATTCCTGCTGAATTTATCAGTGTTCTCACAGAGTAATCAGATCCATGACAAAAGTGATTGTGTACATTGACTCAATAAAATTCTGCTGACAAGTTTCTAGGCAGTAGTAAGCAATCACACGCGTCATCTGCTTTGACTGATGTCGTATCGAAGTCAGTTTTAGCCATGGTAGCGCACACAATCTGTGGAGGAGTTGGCAAGTAGTTAAAATGATCTGGAGCCAGGCACAAACCAGAATATGGATCCACTCTGTGCGTCTCTTTCACAGGCAGGCATTTGGCGTATTGATTCATCAGCTAAGTAGGCCGAAGCTTGACATAGCAGCCGAACATTCAGTCTCCTAATGACTTAACCACATCAACTCTTTCTCCTCTGTGCTGTTCACCCTCCCTTCATCTCTCCCTTCAGGCACCAACCGTGGCTAGAACATGGTGAGTCACGTTGGAACAAAAAGCCCCATTCAAAACACACACACGCACACACAAATTCTCGATCAACTCTCGCCAGCCTGCCTTTTAATAAAAACTCCTTTTCTTCTTCAGTAACCTCCCCCCTGCCATCTCAATCTCCGGGCAGAACTGGATCGCCATGGCCCCAGTGAGACCAGATCAAGCCAATCCAATTGCCAAGCAGGGATCAAGTCACCATGCTGGTGCTGCTCCCAGAAACCACCAGGAGCCAAACCTCCTGAGGTCTTCCCACCACATCACATGGTCTGCTGCCTGGGCACATGAGCGTGTGTGAGAGGCAGAGAAAAGAAAGCAAGGATTAAGAGATAAAAACCATATGAGCAACCAAATCTATTTTGAAGTACTATGACTTCCTTCCTCAAAGAAGCCCTTTTTTTGGTCCCCTATGATCACTCACTGGCCTTTTCACAAGCCTAAACTCTGGTCAAAGGTGATTTATTCATTTTATTGGCTTATTTTCATAACGTTGAGAAATATTCAGCCAAGTAACTGCAACTCACTAGACGCAGCCATAAAAACTAGTCCGTCAGCTGAGTTCTTTTAAATTTCTGATTTATATATTTTTTTTGCCTTTGGCAATATTTGATCCTAAAATAAACTAGTGATATCTGGGTATGTTTCATCCGTGTTTTCTTGAGTGCGTATGTGTGTGTATTATCCTCAACTGAACTCTATACACAACTAGCGGAAAATTATAGCCTCAGCAGGAAATCTGAGCATTGAAAAAGAACTATAAATGTTTACTTAAACAAAGTAGATATAATATTTTAAAATACTCTATGACAAGTCATAACTGCACTACAAGGTACATAAAATGCAGCATACACCTTCATTCGAAAGTTGCAAAATGACACATTTTGTAGTCTTGTATCAGAGATTCTCTATGCATCATTCAGGACCACTGGATGTCGCTACAGAAAAAACATTTCTGACCAAAACAAACAGGCGCAACGGCCACATCGCCCCACTCCCTTCATATTTCATTTACCACTAGAAAGGTTCCGTACACAAGAGACAACAAAAAACTCTAAAATACATTGAATCGTAACAACTTGTTTAACAGACTGCTGGAGAAGCAGAGAAATAGCTGCATAACAGTAGTAGAGAATCTCACACTGCACTAAAATAAATAAAGGCATATAAAATTAGGTTAAATACACATAAATAAAAGACTGGGTTTTAAACTCTGCAAAAGCTAAATTCTTCGACTGCACTGTCACTTTTCCACTACGGTGTGGGAGGTTACTCTGGGCTTCTTTATAAATGCCGAGAGGGCCAACAGTTTCAAAGGGAGGGACTCGCATGCACTCACATGCACTAACATGTATGCAGGGTTGGATCAGCTGCCAGAACAAAGAAGCTCAGACTACAACTACCACACACACACGCGCACGCACGCACGCTATATCTTTACTTAGCAGATAGTTGCTTGATGCTATATCAGTGCTACATTTATGCTCAAAAGCTTACTTATAGCACCTTTAAATGTTAGGTACACCATTTATCGTGTCTGACTTGTAAAAATAGTCAGGTGAACAATAAAACAAGTTTTACTTGCAATGATCATTCCACCTGTTCATACAACAAGATCACTTTCTAATGTCCTCTCAGCATGAGTGATGAGGCACAAAATCCACAGTCATATCCAATTACCTTGGCAGACAACTACACTTTAAATGCATTTTTGCACAAACCAAGAACTGCAGATCTTGTCTCACAACTGTTTTCATGTTCACAAGATTTTATAAACTTGTAAGGAGTCTTACAATGTTGGAGCTGGTTATGGTGAAGTTTCTGGAGCACAATTCACAGTATATTCTTCTGAAATTAAGTAAATCAAGGGAAATATAAATCAGCACAAATTGGAAATACTGAAGTGAAGTGAAAGTACATTAAAGCCACCAGTTCTTGCTTACTAAATTTTGGTTACTGGTAAATGTAGCTGATGAGGGAGTCAGGCAGCATTGTGTTGTACTATTTTAACAGCATTACAACAAATATAAGAATTGTATGGGTAGAAGAACATCATAGTATTAGTAGTATAAGTATTAGTAGTGATTTTGTGAGTTACTTGTGATTGACAACCAACATTCCCTTACAGCAGTATCTACTTAAAAATAAGTGATATTATTTACTCTCTGATGTGTTGCTTTTAGGGAATCTCCAAGGATCTACGGTGTACTAACACTTGTTTATCATGACAACAGTATAAAACACACTTTCTGTAGGCATTGTGCCAGTATTCACACGAACAGTCGACATAGGAAGAACTTCTCTGCAGGTCACAGAGTCTGAGTCACATGCTAGTGTGTGTGCACATGTTTAGACTGTGACAATAAGTTCATGAAGAGCCAGTTCCTTGGCAGCTTTATGTTTTTTTCATCTCACAGATCAGTTGTATCTTACATTTAGCACAGCGCTGTGTCAGTTTTGGAAAATGGCCTGGTAGCACCAATTACCATTCTGCTGTGTCATGTCTGTATTTCTTTAAACAATCACAATTGTCTTGTGTGGTGCTAAACTCAGGACACAGTGTTTCTCTGTTTGGGGGGAAATTGCTTTGGTAAAACATATTTGGAAAATTAACCCTTTCCAAAACCGCTGGACAAAGATGCAAGAACATCCCTGTGAGAAAGAAAATGTTGTGTATCTTTAAAGATCTTTCCAGTCACCCACTGAAAGAACCAAGCATTATCGCAAATCTTAGTCAAAACTTTTTAGCATAGACTGCTAGCTAGGAGGTTGTTTGCCGTAGAAAAGAGGATTTTGAAAACTGCACCATGCAGCCAGTGCAAAGTGAAGAGAATGCAGTGTGAGATGTGTGCCCATTAGCAGGCTTATACCCATAGTCTACATCCAGTGAGTCAGACTATCTGTATCTTGACCTTCTCCATGGTTCAAAAATTTCTGAACAAACTTTAAAAGGCTGGCTCCATTTCCAAGCAGGAAGCCTGCCAGATGAAAGCTGGTGAAAGATGGTTCATTAACTTGACTTTTGAATATAATGGCAAAGTTATCTTTTGCTGCTCAATTTTAAACTGAAAGTGTGTGATAGCCCCGAACAACGTGAAATGAGGCATGGAGTCAAGGTAAGAGGCCTCTCAAAGAAATACCATCTGTTTTATCTAACAGCTGAGCTAATTTGCGTAGAGGAGCTTCTTTCCATGCATGATTGTTCTCTGCAGGCATGGGGGTCAAGTTAACAGTCAGAAAAGCAAGTACATTATTCAGCACATTTACTTTGATATTGTGAGCATGAAGGCTGGAGGGCAGGAGTTATCCCTGGGGGAAACTGTCTACCTGTGAGATATTAGGTAATTATTCAAACACACAGACCATCCATTACCGACATCCATTCCAGCAGAGTAACCGTCTCTGCATGTTATCTTCCTATAAAACTTACAAATCCTAAAAAAATCCTCCTACATGGACTGAATGCTTCACATACACTCAGTATGAAAGCTTAAATATGCTGCAGACCCCATTCTCATTACATGCATTAGTGATATCGTTGTGACTCAGAGTTATTTCAGATATTTCACTCCACTCAATGAACTGAAGCAGCACAGCCAAACATATGTTTACACTGGCCAAGTCCCAGTGTATGCACAACCGCACAATCATGATCTAAGGTTATAAAGTTGTGGACATGAATAGCATGCCTGTACAATTTACCTCATTATGTTTCTTGCTGGAGCGACTTCTTCTATTTGAAGGTCTCCCTTAGAAATGTTACATTTAATTGCAGAAGGTCAGCAAAATCTTGGTTTAATACTGTAGTAGGAATAGAAGTATATGCGCCAAGAGTGTGTATCCTTATGTAACACAATCCAGATGTTGCTTCAAATTTTTCTGTCATGTAAGAGGGTACTACTTAGTGCAGTAGTGCTTTGAGCAAAACCTTTAGCATGCTAATGTATTCACAATGACAATGTCATCAAGGTATCAATAGTAGGTGTAACGTGTCAGCTTAATGTGAGTTTGCTAGCATTTGCTAATTAGAACTAAAAAAGTACAGTGGAGGCTGATGAAGATCTTACTTTGTAGGGATTGGCCAATTATTGGCTTAAGCAATTAGCAGATCTGATATTCAGCACTTTTTATTTTTAACTGGGAATTTTAAATTGCACATCATTTAGTTTAAGATTTTAAATCTGATTTCTTTTAATATGTATTTTAACTAAGTTTTGTGCTGAAATTTGTGTTGTTCTAAATTTAGACACCAAGATTTTTAATTTTACTGCAAATCTATATTTGCAGTAAATACAGTTGAAATCAAAAGTTTCCATACACTGTATAAAAGGGCACATAGCCTTTTTTTCTCACTATCTGACATTAAAAGTGACTAAACGTTTCATGTTTTAGGTCAGTTAGGATTACCAAAATTATATTTATTTGTTAAATGCCAGAATAATGGGAGAGACAATTTTTTTATTACTTTGTTCAAAGTCATAAATTTACATACATTTCCTTAGTATTTGGTAGTGTTGCCTTTAAACTGCATGACTTGGGTAAAATGTTTTGGGTGTCCTTCCACAACCTTCTCACAACTGTTTGCTGGAATTTTGGCCCATTCCTCCTGACAGAACTGGTTTAACTGAGTCAGGCTTGTTGGCCGCCTTGTTTGCACATGCCTTTTCAGCTCTGCCCACAAATTCTCTACAGGATTGAGATCAGGGATTTGTGATGGCCACTCCAAAACACTGACTTTGTTGTCCTTAAGCCACTTTGCAACGAATTTGGCGGTATGCTTAGGGTCATTGTCCATTTGGAAGGCCCATTTGCGCCCAAGCTTTAACTTCCTGGCTGATGTCTTCAGATGTTGATTCAATATTTCCACATAATGTTCTTTCCTCATGATGCCATCTATTTATTGAAGTGCACCAGTCCCTCCTGCAGCAAAACGCCTCCACAACATGATGCTGCCACCCCCATACTTCACAGTTGGGATGGTGTTCTCAGGCTTGCAAGCTTCCCCCTTTTCCCTCCAAATGTAACGATGGTCACTATGGCCCAACAGTTCAATTTTAGTTCATCAGGACAAGTCTCCAAAAATTAAGGTCTTTGTCCCTGTGTGCATTTGCAAACTGTAGTCTGTCTTTTTTATGTTTCTTTTGGAGTAATGTCTTCTTCCTGTCTGGGTAGCCTTTCAGCCCATGGTGGAACAGGACTCGTTTCACTGTGGATAATGATACTCTCTTACTAGCTTCACCAGCATCTTCACAAGGTCTTTTACTTTTGCTCTAGGGTTGACACACACATCTCGCACCAAAACATTTCATCTCTGGGACACAGAAACCGTCTCCTTCCTGAGTGGACATTCCCATGGTGTTTACACTTGCGTATAATTGTTTGAGCAGATGAACGTGGAACCTTCAAGCATCTGGAAATTGTACCCAAGGATGAACCAGACTTGTGGAGGTCCACAATTCTCTTCCTCATATCTTGGCTGATTTGTTTAGACTTTCCCATGATGTCACAAAAGGCAGCAGTGTGTTTGAGGTGTGCCTTAAAATACATCCACAGGTGTGCCTCCAATTAACTCAAATGTTGTCAATTAACCAATCAAAAACTTCCAACACCATGACATCATCACGTGGGCTTTCCCAAATA